ATCTTGCCTAACTAGCCCCAGTTGGTATCAGATTCAGTGTTCAAGATTGCTTCTATGTTTTTGAGTTTGAGTAGAGTCGAGTGCGACATTAATGACGCATCTTTTTAAATTATATATTCCGAATAATTATATCCTCTCCACTGATGAGCTAAGATCAGAACGACTACAAGAATGAAAGGCCAAAACTCCTGCAAATCCCTCATGTAAGATTAGTAGCATGTGCCATGTCCGTAGATCGAATGCTTCCGGCTCGAACTATGACAGTGTCATTGGGTTGTGTCCCGGGAAGGGGGAGGGGGGCACTGCTCGGTGTGACAATACTACGAGTAGATTGACGCTGCAGAAGCTAGGATAAGCTCTGGGAAGATGAGCCCCTAAGCTCGTAATCTGACCTTACCATTTTTACTTTTTTTAATGATTTTAGTAGATTATCTCCTCTCCTCGAAAGTTTCTTTCCGAGGTTAAACGATTTCTTCAATTTAGCTTGAAGGGATGGCTCTTCGCCGTCGGTAATCCCATCACGGGTAGATGTTGTTCCACTGGTATATTGGCTAGTTCCAGAATAATCATCTGTGCTGTCATAGAGCCTGTTCCGAACACGCTTCAATGAAGACACAGGGATACTGCTTGTCTCTTTGAGACTTCTTGATGGTAGAGAATTTCCTACAGATAAAACAAACACATGCAAGGATTTTCGTTAAGTTCTATATGATGTAATGACATTGCAATAGCTAATATGTATCACGGTCGCAGAAATTTAAGTAACAGTTGACAAAATACCACAAAAAGATCATGTTTGTGTCGCTATCTCGGCCTCAGTCGTAGATAGATTAGATTTTTAGATTAAAAAGTGCGACTCGACTTGCTAGTTTTTTTAGCCCACCTATTCTCACGCCTAATTTTTATTGTTTAGCTTTTTTGTTGTAGTTGCCTGAATTTCAGTTATCACTGAGATGGGTGGGCTAAAAATTGCTCTAATAGTCTATCTAGAAAGAAAACAACTCTAAGACCAGAACCGCGAAATGCACCAAACTCGCGCATTGCAAGAGTTGCCACGAGGCCGATTTTCAGAATCCATAACCTGCACAACTCTTTTCAAAACACATAACCTAATTTTTCAAGAGTGCGATAAAGCGCGCCTTGTATGCCTATTAAGTATTCTGTTCTGGCAACACGTTTCCGTCTGTATGCATTTAACTCGAGCAACAAAGTGAACAGAAAGCGCTTAGAATTTCGAGAATTACGCAAATGAAGCAGGGATTCAACTAACCTTTGCCAAGTGCGGCAACCGCAAAAGCAAAAATCAGGATCCAAAACACTTTCATCTCAATTTTTCAAGGAAATCATCGCTGCAAAAAAACGGCGAGGCTCTCCGAAAGAAAAGTGAAGGAAATGTGACGTCATAAAGGTTGATTACCGACTTAGAAACAGTTCCTACTGATAATTGACGTAATTGATTGCTGCGCGGTTTTGCGGAGAATGCGACGCCCGAGCTTACGGGATAATCTTGTGGGTTGTTTCTTTTTTTTGTTGTAATTTTTTAAATATCAGACACAACGTACTTCTTCTATAGATTTCTGATGCAAATCTTATCAAACAAAATTTTCTAAAAGGCCCAGCGCTGGCGCGCGCAGTCTTTTTATCAACCTCGCGCAAGGTAATGTGACCGTTATTTAGGTCGTTTGAATCTTAACCGCTCGTCTGGCTCCAAGGTGTTCACCAGCGTCAGAAGCTTTGAGATATATGAGATATGAGACATTTTCGACGTAGACTTGCATCTATTCAAAGAAAACAAACCGTGTCCTTTGCGAACCACCTGAGATTTCACAATGGTTCCGTAGAAACCAATACCCCGCCTTACCCCAGTCTGCGCGGCTATTCGTATGAGTTTGACTTTAGCGCAGATCATGCAAATAAAAGGTGTGAGCTCGAGTTGAAATGCAATCGCGAGTACGTTCTTACCCAACCGTATTCCAAAATGCGATGGCCCACAAGGGACTCTCTGCAAAGAAAAGAAACGCTACAAATAAAAAAAAAAACCATGAAAAAAAATTGGGTGACATTTGCTTCAAATTTTTATACTCGTCCCCAGCCCCCGAATTTTAACCCAAAATATTTATAAAAATAGCGAAATTTTTGAGGAAAATGCAAGATTACACAAAGTTATCAGTTACTTTTATCAGATGTACGCACAGATTTAAGTCATTTAGCTATTAGTCTATCTATAAATATAAAAACATATCCGAGAAATGAAAAAAAAATCCACGTAAATAATCGTAAATAGGGCTTTGAAAATATCGTACAGTCTTCTAAATGTACGGGTGGTCTGGGATCTACTGATCATTTTGGCACCATATTCGTAATCTTTTGAGCGAAAAATTACATGTAAATCGGCGTTTTAACATAGATAGTTTGCAGATGTTTGCGGTTCTGCGAGGCTTTCAGGCCCTTACTGTGCTTGCGATTACGCTCGCCTTGGTTTGTTTCATAGAAGCCGTGCCAAATAACGTGAGAGACAAGGAATAATAGCCACGAACAGTATTAATCCTCGGTTCAGGCCCATATAAACAAGTAAGTTACCGGTAAGTCCACCGTCAAATTTTACAAGAAATGTGTGCCCAGTTTCATGTACACTGCCATAAATTTTATCTGTTTATTTCCTCTGTCTGTTTTTACTTTGCTTGGGCAGTAAACTTCTTGACGAAATGTACAAATCAGCTGAACAAGACGTCGAAGAAATGGATGAGAGGGACAGCCTGCCTCGAGTAGGCTCTGTTTAAAGATTCTAATGGGAAAAGTGTGCCAGAAATGCAATGTACCTAGTGTGATAGTAAATTCTAGACTTGTACAGGAGTTCAAAACAAAGATCTGGAGACTAAATCAAGCACTAGCGAAAGCCAAAACTAAAGGAGGTAACGGGTTAAGAAAGCCCTTTTCCCAGTGGACTTATGGTAAATATTCAACCTGGAGTTTTAAAATTTATTACAATGAACTGGACAGTGTAAGACTACAAAATGAAAACAATGAATTGAAGGGACAGAAAAGAAAGCTTGAAGATGATTAAAGAAAAACAGTGAACACTTAAAATAAAAAAAAATTGCCGCAAATAAAAAAGTGATCGCTGCGAATAACAAACGATCGCTGCGGATAAAAAGAAAACGCTGCAAAGAAAAAAATTGAATGCTGCAAATAAAAAAGTGAACGCTGTAAATAAAAAATGCAAACATTGCAAATAAGAAGTGAATGTTGCAAACAAAAAGAACCCATCATGTATGCACATTGTGCCTGAGGGACTGTGTAGAGTTTTGTTGATCTTCAGAGCCTGCGAGTATTTCTCCCCCCCCCTTTTTTAAACATCCATTCTCGTTGAAAAACAAATAAAAGAGTATTCGCTTTGTTTTGTAGCTTTTGTTGCATTGGGGATGCTCAAGAGAGTATCTGCGATAATTGTGTGGCAGAAAAAGATGTGAACGAGGTGATAGAGCACTAGCACATTCATAGCCCAGACAGTCACAAGCAACGTATCCACAACCCAGACAGTTACAAGCAACGTATCCACAGCCCAGACAGCTGCAAACTCAGATTCATTAACTCAATGGTTCACTCAGGAGACACAGGTCAGTGAAATTCGGCATTTGTAAGTTTTTTCTGAATTGTGTACCCATGCAATATTCTTATTAATTTAAAAAGTTATGTTAAATGTAATAAAAGCTTGTGCATGTTCAGTCAAGAAATACAGAGACATCTGTATAGAAGAGTAGACAACATGATACAAGAACAACATCGTTAAAATCAGTTCTCAAATGTGCATTGTGCAGCATTTATTTATTTATTACACCCATTTTGAAATCACTGGTGGTCCTTGTAATGTGATTGGCTCTAATTGGTGCAGTTTGTCACACCATTTTTTGCTTTAAATTGCATTTTTCCCAGCCAATGAGGAGGCTACACTAAAAACAAAACAACTAATCAAATTTCAAGGCTTGTTTAAAGTAACCAATCAAATTGCAAGAAAATGAAAGATAAAGAGTATCATGTGGTAAATTTTGCAACTTTTGTTTCCAAAACTCTTTTATTTTTTCTTCCCCAAAAATGGATGAATTTAATTTCAAACCAGCTCGGTCCTGCATCAATAGAATATTTGAACTGACCAAGTCCTGTACTTGGGTGATTTCAAAATGGATGTAATAAAGTGGTAATTGAACCTTGTGTCATGTAATTTTGGTCAGAAATCATACTTTTGATTACAAATCAAACTCGATTTTGAAATCACTCAAATGATTTCAACCTAAATCACATTCCACTTGGTTCAATTACCATTATTTATAAACTGATTGATTTCTACAGGTGCAGATGCTGTAGGTGTTGAAGTTTCTTTAACAGAGGTTCCTGTTCAAAAGATCATTCTGTAGAGGGCTTTACTTAAGGATAACTTAATAGCAATCTTTAAGGATCCTAAAATACCTCATGTTTATCTAGGTGTGACCTTTATTGGCAACAATGGTAGGGAGGGAGAGGGAAATGAGGCTAAACTCAACCCCTGAATTAATAACCACAAATTTCAAGGAATGTTTATTCATGTATATGTGCAGATCAAAGCTTTTACATGTCTAAATGTTATACCTTGGTATTATAGATTGTTGATAATATAATAAAATTATCAAATTGAATGTAATTTTCAGACTTTGCATGGTGGCATTAACGTGATGAAACATTAAAAAGTTATGCTAATTTTACAACAATGTCATCTTTAGTTATTTGATTCAATAGACTGATCAGTGACAAGCAGTTGGATACTACATTCAGTTCACACATGAATTGCTTCACTGTAGAAGAGGTGTTCTGAGTCATTTTTTTTTCTGCAATTCTGTTATGTGTTGGTATTGTCTTATGGCCTCTCTAGCTGTACTAGGGTAAACCCAACCTTTAGTTTCCAAAATATTCAAATTATTCACAATGTACTTCCATATCCTCAACTTATAGTTACTATGGCACAGGAACTAAACATTCTTCATGTCTATGATATTCTGGTAGAAAGTTTATAACATCTGGTACCCCATGAACAGAACTGTATGGAGACTTGGAAATCTTGTGATCATTCCAATGATCTTTCACTTTGTCCAAGTCATTCTGAAGAAGCTTTGAAAAACAGAACCACAAGTACTCCATATGAAGAGTGTTTCCCACACAAAAAGAAATCCATAATCAACCATGTCTCTGAAAAGGTTTATCTACCAGTTTGATTTATTTTGCCTGAAAAAGGACCACCACCCCTCAGTTCGTTGATTTGCATATTATTCGTTTACATCTTTTTCTGCTACACAATTATCGCAGATACTATCTTGAGCATCCCCAATGCCACAAAAGCTACAAAACATTGCGAATACTCTTTGATTAATTTTTCAAAGAGAATGGATGTTTGGAAAAGGGAGGGAAAAAGTGGTAGGCTCTGGAAACGAGCAAAACTCTATCCAGTCCCTCGGGCATAATGCGCACGCACGATGTGTTCTTTTCATTTGCAACGTTCGCATTTTTTATTTGCTGCATTTGTTTTTATGCCCCTTATGGGCCATCGTAGTTAACATGTTCCCCAAACGTCTAGACTAAGAGCAGTCCCTCCTTTTCGGTGAAGTCTGTCGCGAGATTCATTAAGATTCAGCGACTGAAAAAACGTTGTTTCTTTGTTTCGTTTAGCTTCGTTTACTTTCTGCCAGAGTTCTGCGCTGAGCATTACCCTCAGTTTTTTTTGTCGCTTCCTCTTTTTGACTTGCATTAGAGTCCCGTGGACAAGATCTGGGCGGCGCGCCAACATGTTTAGTATATGTAATCACATGAGGCCAAGTACTATTAAGGATTTTCCAAAATTTTGAAAACTCAAGTGCAATTAATCCTTAATAGTACGAGGTCTCATGGGATTACTTGTTTATCAATAAAGGGCAAAATTTATACGAAGGAAAATCACGCGCGCAGTCTATTTTTATCTGGGAAGCCTGTTTAGCGCTACGGAAAATCATCAATCAAATTGAACTGACCAATCGATTCAATGAAATTTTATTCTCCAAAACTGTGTCGTGATACACTGCCAAAAGTCTAGAAAACAAAGCTCATTTCAACAGAGCGTTTCTGCCAACAGAAAAACAACAAAGTGCTTTTAACTGAACAAGGTAATCATGCCCTCTCTTGATTACTAAAAATGCCCTCGATTAAGAAAAAATGCCCTCTCTCTCAACCAATCAGCGCTCAGTAATTTTGCCCTTTATTGATAAATGTATATACTCGCACCAGAGTTCCAATCAGCACGCTAACGTCACTTTCCGCTTATTTTTACCCAGAGTTCTGCGCTTTGCGCTGAAATCCACTTTTATTTATTTGCATCCCCACCAGCCTCTTTTTGCCTCCACCCTATTGCACGAGGAAGGTCTGGCTCGAAACAAAATACCAGCGCAAACGTTAGAGTATTTCAAGGCAGGTGGTGTTGTCAAATGAAGGATGCCAACCATTGAGTAAAAACTGTTCTTTATTAAAAAGGATTTGAGGAAGTTCATGAACACACGACAGAATGCGCACACTGCGAGACTTGAGTATCAAGTGAATCTTACGTTCACATTTCAGTTCTTTGATCAAGGAGTAATACGGAGAGACGAAGAAAAACAATATTGCCGCAGTATTGGTAATAACATTAGTACAATGCCATAAAGACGAGAAGGCAGTCTCTTAACTGTCTGTAAATGATTGTTAATGTCTGTACATTTTTAAAGTGAACAACAAGGAATCCCTTTTTTATTTCCTTTCGCCGTATTTTTAAGGGATAAGAAAGAAAAAGAAGTGTATAGGCGCACGAAATTTAAGCTTAAATCGAAGTATATGAAAAGAGAAATGATGTTGGTTTTAGCTTTAAATAGTATCCTTTGGTTTTCCTGTCCTCTGTCAAGTAGAGGTGTATAAAAAGATCCCAGTTCATGATGATAAATGGAGAAAAATAGAAAAAAAGAAGAGAGAATGAAGAAAAACAAATAAACATTAAGGACTTCTCACAAGCAACATCTTTTCAGTCCACGGCATCTGTAAAGAGCAAATGAGGTTGTTAGTGCCACAAGGTGAAGTTTTAGAACTCTGTAGTGCTACGCCTAATGTTTTCTTTTTAGTTTTTGACCATTTTTGGCCTCAATTTTTCTATCAATAAGAATGTTGATTTATTGAACGAATTTGTGGCAGCGCTGGTGATTTTTGAAGCTTAAACATTACGTTTAGCTTACGTTTCCCTATTAAGCAAAACGTTATCCACTGCAAAAATCTCTACCCGGTAGACATTGAAGTACGTTTTGATGACAACTGAGTTGAAAACGTAAATTAGCCACCGTAAAGGGTGATTCGCTGGACAGAGATTTATCCGTTGGATGACGTTATCTGCTCTCTGAGGAACTGGGCCCAAGAGCTACAAGAGGAAAAGCGATCCTAACCTTTAGAAATTCTTGACACCATACTTGAAAACTTTACCAGTTGCACCACAATCGTTCTGGATAACAGGCTTGGCGATGTCCAACGAATAGCTGAGGTATTCCTTGGGTTCCAGGCCTAACGCGATCATCTGTAAATCGAGTGAAAGCACCAATAATTGCGATAACGTTCGACTCTTAGTATGGGATCCCAGTGATCTGATATCTGTTAACATACTACCTCAAGTAAGCTGTTACTGTTCAAGAGAACACGTGAAATTGCTCTTTAAAGTAAGGCGAAACTATCACAACTAGAACATTTACGGTACCTGCTGTACTAGGCTGACAGGAAGTGCATATTTCTTTGGGCTCTCGAAAATAATGGATTTTGCAATCTCAATGTCGTCTGCAAGTGATGCTCTCCTCTTTCCAGAAGTCTGCTCCCTAATTGCAAGACGTTTCTCCTTGGAATTTTCCAACCTCTGCCTGTAAATCGAGTCTGGTGCAATCACCGAATAAGCAGTCTCCAGTTCATCGGCAAAAGATACTCGTTTTCTCTTTAGCGCCGTCTCTGACTCGGAACCCTGGTTACACTCCTTGATAATATGTCTTCGTCTGGAAGCCCTCTCCTCGAACTTTCTATTCTTTGTAGAGTCAGCAATGATCGATTTAGCGATTGTGATGCTGTCAACCAGCGAATCTCTCCTATGGGAGCTTTCCTCCTTAATAAGCCTCCTCGTTTCCCAATTTCGCGAGTCTCTCCTTCTGTCGTCAGCCTCCGGACCTGTGAGTTTCCTTTCCTCGTGTTGTTGATGGGCGGTACCACCGGAGTAGGTCTGTTCATTACCCCCCAGAGTAAAGTGTGCATTGACCAAACTGACCAAATTTCCAGCAACTTTGAGAGCAAAAGAAAACAAAAGGAAACAAACAAACAAACAAAAAAAGATTAAGGAACGCATTTCGGTTGCAAGTGGCAACACGCAATCTAAAGTCATAAGGACAACCAATCAGAACAAAGGGCCGTCTCACAGAGAGCCAATGAAAACGTAGAGTCAAGGGAAGAAAACCACGTGAAAGGTGTGGGTGACGCAGTAGCCTTGCGATTTGTTACAGCACGTCTGACTCAGAGTCGAGAGGGCCTGGTTCGAGACTAGAGTCGAGAGGGCCTGGTTCGAGAACCTTCCGGCCGATTGTGTTGTGTTACTGAGCCTAATTCCCAATGCCTCTCTCCTCCCAGGAGTATGAGTGCTCAGTGCCTTTCTCCTTCCAGGAGTAGGACTAGATAGAAAAGAACTGAAAGGGAATTGTACCGGAATGCTAAAGGGACACCTGTCCCTTACATATAATGTAAGTTTACACCATCCATGTACCTTGTTTCGCTGCCTTTGAGGTAACCGGTGCTAACGCTCCAACCTTTGGCCCCTTCACACCTAGCCGGAGGAAAAAAAAAAAGATTAGATATCATGCAGATTACAGTTACATGGATCATATTCATGAGGAATAGTCTACATCACTGTGGGTTCATACCCAATGATGCAAACATTTCTCAATATCACTAAGAATGATTAGATACCTTTATTTTATATAACACATCTGGTACATTACCCTGAGCCAATTTACTAGTTGTTGTTAAGAATTAAAAAACCTTAACCCTTTAACTCCCAGGATCTGATTGTTAATTGTCCCCTCTTGCTGCTACACATTTCCTTATAGCTTAGTTATGGGAATTTGGTTTTAGATCAAGACATCAATTTCTACCTGATGAGTTTGAGTATTCTCATTACCTGTTCACTGGGTAATGTATAGGTATTTTTTTGACAAAAATAACATCACTTGGAGTGATGATTGAAAAATCTTGGGGTAAGACAACATCAGGATAGTAGTCATGTTTCAAAAATGAAAAAAAAATGAAAAAAAAATCAATGCAATAGCCCTTTGAACTCTAACATCAGTATGCATATTCTCCATACTGTTCTATACACATTTCTTATGGTGCTGACAGGGAGAATTTGTTTAACAATCAAGAGCTTCTTTGGTTGCTGATCATTTCCTTTATTCTCATGACCTTAGGGTGTGATTCAGGGATGATATGTGCAGAGAAATTAGATGTTGGTCACTCTTGGGGATCAAAGGATCAATTTGCATGGAAGACTAGGACAACTTCCAACAAAAGTATTTATGTCAGCTGGCATGCTTTAAATGGTTGTACCTTCTTCCCCACAAGCAGTTGAATTAACGGGTATTAACACTCTAAAACTTGCATCATTGGACACACCTAAAAATTGCCAGATTACAAGAAAACAAATCTGTTTAAGCATCATATTAATAATCTGATCAGCTGGCAAGCTTTAAATGGTTGTCTGTTTATCATTACCTTTTTTCCCAGAAGCAGTTGAATGAACAGGTATTACCACTCCAGAACTTGCATCATTGGACACACCTTAAAAAATGCCAGATTACAAGAAAACAAATCTGTTGAAGCATCATATTAATAATCTGATCAGCTGGCAAGCTTTAAATGGTTGTCTATTTATCAGTACCTTCTTTTCCAGAAGCAGTTGAATTAACAGGTATTAACACTCCAAAACTTGTATCATTCGATATACCTAAAAAATGCCAAATTATAAGAAAACAGATCTGTTGAAGCATCATATTAATAATACCATCACAGACATGGTGATCAATATTCAAGATGGCTTCTCTGAGCCACTTGCCTGCAGCAAGCTTGTTGCATGCAACAAAGTTGTACTGTGTAAATCAGCCCTAAGGAAGAAACTCTGTCTTAATCATTTATGAGAGTTTAAGAATAAACTGTGGTAACATGACAAAAAAAATGCTTCTACATTTTTCTTGGACATAACGGTAGCTTGAAGCTATCAGGTCTCCCTTAGCTTTGGTCCTGAAAGAGTGTTTCAGGACAGAAAATTTGTGTGGAAAAATCAGTGCATTCACTCTTCCTAAACAGATCCTACTGTTAGCTTATACATTTGATTTTAAGTACCTGGAACTGCATTAAGTGTATATGCCATGGTAAATGTCTTCATGGGGGGAGGGGGTAGTGGCATTTCATACTCATTCTCTGGGGGGTGGGCCTTGTCAACTTTGATACTTGTGAGCTCCACATTTTCACGCTGCCCAGATTCTTGATCTGTGTTCATTCGTTTGCACATCTGCGAGTAGTATTTCCTTGCAGGCCTGTGAATAAAAACAGAAATACAAATTAGAACATTTTTTAAAAAATTTAAAATTTAAACTTGGAACTCTGTGCAGTTTTTCAAAGTAGATCAGGCTCATGACAGTCTTATAGAGAACCACATAGCAAATCATTCTAGTTCTCTAAATTATCTCAGCTTTAATGAATACTTAATAATTCATGTTTAACTGTTTCTTTGATTGAAAAACTTCCAGTTTGAAAAACTGAAACTATTTGAAGCTTCTGGACATTTGTTCATCCCATTGCTAACTTGCAGAGATGCCTCTAATCGTATTGTTTATGAGTGATTGTTCAAATATCTCTTCAATGATAATCCACTGCAAACTCCACTAAACAGTAATGACCAAATAATGCAACCCTATCTAACACACACTGGTCATATGTGTCATTTGCTAGGAACACTTACAACTTGAAAATTTCGGAGCATGCATCACACTTTTTTTGTGGAATGTCATGCCAGTTTAGAGGTTTTATTCCCAGGGAGAGGAAGGGGGATCGAAATCATATCAACCCTTTTATTAAAGAGACAAATTTTGAAAGAGGGATGGGGTTTTCAAAATAAGACCACAAATAGCATTTCTACACTCACCACGCAAATACGAAGAAAGCAAACGTCACAGAAACCAACAAAATTCCCCCAGCAATGAACGTTGCCTGAAGTAAGGTCACCATCATTGGATCGCCATGTGATTTTTTTGTCCCATGGTTTGGTTTATCTTTTGCTCTACCAGTACCTCTACCATGACTTCTGTCATGAGCCACAGCTAAACCAGTCCAGCGCACCTCAGAGACAGGCACATCAAATGGTTTATCACCTGATTTCCCCTCTATAGTTTTCTCTGATTTTTCATTTGGAATGTCATTTCCAAATTCTGGCCCTTCTTGTTCTCCTCCTGATTCTCCTCCTGGTTCTCCTCCTGGTTCTCCTCCTGGTTCTCCTCCTGGTTGTCCTCCTGGTTCCCCTCCTGGTTCTCCTCCTGGTTCCCCTCCTGGTTCCCCTCCTGGTTCTCCTCCTGGTTCTCCTCCGTGTATGACATTTTCAGGATTTTCAGAACCTCCTCCAGATGACTCTCCATAACCACTTTCAGATTCCACATCCACATCATCCAAAGGTTTTTGTATTGGTTTTGGCATTTGTTTTGGAGACTGTCCATGAGACAAGCTTGATTTTGAAGGAGTCTCCACGATAATAAGCTTTTTTTTCTGTACAGGATTACTTGTACCAGTCAACTGAATGTCACTCTCCAGTGACCCTTCTGGGAAATTGACATGTCAAAAGATTATCAACAGGTGCAAGAGAAAAATTCTACCAGGAATTGTTTCCTGGCCACTAGCCAATTCTAAAGAAAAATTGTCATTTTTGATCCCACACTAATGTGATTTCTCATGGGTGAAGCTATCCAAGCTCTGCAGCTTGAAGTGTTTCAGAATATTAAGACAAGTACACTGTACCCTTACTTGATAGAAAAAAAAAACTTCTCTCTCTTCTCTTCTCCCACCACCCCTTTTGCACTTTATTAGGTTTCCCTGATACTTCCTAGGTGCCCTCTCACTAAAGTTTGGGTAATTTTTTTTTTTTACCCATAACAACATTTTTTAATCTAATTCTATGGAATGAGGAAGGTCTTCACTCTAAAATCACTTCATTCATTTCATTTCCTTTTTTTTTTTTTTTTTTTAGAACAAAATTTCAAAATGTCCTGTAAATAAAAATGAGCTTCTGAGGCCTACATCGTCACCTGGACTTGCAGGAAGCTGGCTTCTGGTGCTAGTTTAGACATGAAATGAAAAAGAGATCCCCTACCTAGGGAAAGAGGTTTGTCTTGACCCTTTAACTCCCAGAGATGATTAAAAGGTTACTTCTCCCTTTAAAATCCATATATTATCCAGCAAGCGGGTGATGAGAATACTCAAACTTATCAAGTAGAAGTTGTTATCTTGATCTAACAACAAATCCTTATAACTAACTTACGAAGAAATGTGTAGCAGCCAGAGGGGAGAATTAACAATTGGATCATGGGTGTTAAAGGGATAAACAAGGATGTCCTTGTCAGGACACTACCATATCTCCCTTAACCTCTTGCATGCTTTCTTATTTTCCACATACTCCCCCCACCCCCTGTTAGTACTAACAGTGATTTGAAGTCACACCTGATACTCCTGATTCCCCAGAACCACTTTCACCAAAACCACTTTCATCATCCATGTTCACCTCCTCTGAATCAACAATGTCATCTGAAAATAGTTGTTTCAGTTTGGGGTTTTGTTTTAAAGACTGTTTGTGGACCAAGCCTGATTTGGTAGGTAAACCTTTCTCAGCGAAATAAAAATCTGATTTGTAGACATGGCTATCTATACCAGATGACTGGCTCTTCAAGGACCACATTGGAGAATTGACATCCACAGGACGGATCTTTAAAGGATTCTTTATTACATATGGTTTTGGTGCTCGTCTTGTGGTTGGTAATGCTTTTGTGTGAGGTCCTGTCTTGCCCAATGTTTCTATTTAGAGAAGTAATCATTCTTTTTAGTCCCACACTAATCTAATTGCTCCTCATTTGCCTCCATTTATTCCAGGGCACATTTGTTTCCCATAATATTTTCATTGTGGGACAGCTTGATGAGAGTTCTGTCACCAAGTTGTCTCAGAGGCCTGGTGACTCACCTTTGTGCGAGCTCCCCTAATTTCTGTAACATGAACTGAGTAAGAATTTGTATTATTCCCACAAAAAATACTAGGTCATTGCAAGTAGTACCCTCTTCCCTCACCCCTGCCTCCCCCCATTTGCTCAATGGGTTTTGAAACAGTTCCCCATATTCACCCAGATCCCTTGGTGGAAAAAGGCACCCCTGGTGGAAACAGGCCTGTCTTGGAATAACATGATCCTTTACATGTATTCCATTAGATAACTAAAGTTCCTCCTGTTGACAATGATGAATATCACACCTGATCTCAACTGAGGACTCAGAGAAGATGTCATCACATTGCTTGACTCTTTGGGAGGAAATCCCCCAGAACCACTTTCAGTAACTATGTCCTCTTCTGAATTAACTTCCACACTTGAATATTGTTGCTGTGATTTCCAGTTTTGTTTTAGCTGATGCTTCTGAACCAGGCTTGATTTTGTAGGTTGAGCCTTCTCAACAGATCCAAATCCCTGCTTGTTTACAGGAGCATTTGTACCAATCAAGTAACTGTCACTCTTCATGGAGTCTCTGGAATGATCAACATTTGGCGCATGGATCTTTTGAGTACTCTTTCTTCCAAATGCCTTTGACTCACCTACATATTAAGCAGGTCCTGAGGTTAGTAATGTCCTCATGTGAAGCAAATGTCAACTGGTCAAATCTAAAGAGCAGTCATCATTTTAAATCATCTACTGATCTGACCCCCCCGTTTACCTATATGTATGCGGATCTCCATAGCAGGTTTAAATTCATTAAAAGGAAACTGATTTGATTCATGCTCATGAGTTTGAGATATTATTGAGTCATGTTTTAGAGGCTAGAAGGGCACTGCCACTGGTGGAGCTATCTATTTATAGAAAGCATAAAGTGAGTTAGAACATTAAGGAGTGCACTCAGTCTCTGTACATGGTTGTTCAGCACAGGTACAAGTAACCCCCTTTAACCCGTTACTTCATCAGGTTTCCCTGCAATTTCCTGGATCCTCATTTAGGCATAGCAAGAGAGAGGCACTATGAGAGAGAACAATGTTGTCTATGAAATAGTAGTAACCACTGGGCAACCACACAGTCTCCATTGACCTTCAAGATATTTCCCAATTCTTTGTGTTCCCAGGGGCTTGGCTTAGTGAGCCTGCAGTCACATGATTTTCAACAACACACAAACACAGGTGATACAGGGTGCACCCCACACCCCCAAAAAATCCTTTATGCCCCTAATCTTCCCTTTTTATGAGAATGAATTAATTTCATACCTTTTACACCTGTTCTCAGGTGAGGGTCCACAACATTGCCGGGTTCTTCAGATCCAAACATGTCTTGATAAACATCTGTAGAACCACTTTCACTATCCATATTTATCTCCTCTAGATCAACCTCATCGTCTATAGGTGGTTGTTCTCGTTTTGGAATTCGTTTTGGAGATTCTTGGCTTGATTTAGTTGGTAGGCCTTTCTCCATAGATCCAAATGCTTGTTTGCCAACAGGAACATTTGTACCAGTCACTTGAATATTGCTGTTTGATGACATCCCCTTTGATGAGCTTGTTTTATGGAGGGGCACCAACTTTTTGTAGATGGTTTTTTCATTCAAGTGAGAAAGTTCCCCAGAGCCACTTTCACTATCCGTGTTTATCTCCTCTGGATCAACCTCATTGTCTATAGGTGGTCCTTTTCGTTTTGGGTTTTGTTTAGGAGACTCTTGGCTTGATTTAGTAGGTAGACCTTTCTCTGTAGATCCAAATCCTTGTTTGCCAACAGGAACATTTGTACCAGTCACTTGAATATTGCTGTTTGCAGACATCCCTTTTGATGAGCTTGTTTTATAGAGGGGTGGCAACTTTTCATAAATGGTTTTTTCATTCAAGTGAGAAAGTTCCCCAGAGCCACTTTCACTATCCGTGTTTATCACCTCTGGATCAACCTCTGTGTCTATACGTGGTCGTTTTCGTTTTCGTTTTGAGTTTTGTTTAGGAGACTCTTGGCTTGATTTAATAGGTGGACCTTTCTCTGTAGATCCGTATCCTTGTTTGCCAACAGGAACATTTGTACCAGTCACTTGAATATTGCTGTTTGCAGACATCCCTTTCGATGAGCTTGTTTTATAGAGGGGTGGCAACTTTTTGTACATGGTTTTTTCATTCAAGTGAGAAAATTCCCTTGAGCCACTTTCACTATTCGTGTTTATCTCCTCTGGATCAACCTCTGTGTCTATATGTGGTCGTTTTCGTTTTCGTTTTGGGTTTTGTTTGGGAGACTCTTGGCTTGATTTAATTGGTGGACCTTTCTTTGTAGACCCTAATCCTTGTTCGCCAACAGGAACATTTGTACCAGTCACTTGAATATTGCTGTTTGATGACATCCCTTTTGATGAGCTTTTTTTATGGAGGGGCACCAACTTTTCGTAAATGGGTTTTTCATTCAAGTGAGAAAGTTCCCCAGAGCCACTTTCTCTATCCGTGTTTATCTCCTCTGGATTAACCTCATTGTATTTAGGTGGTCGTTTTCGTTTTCGGTTTTGTTTACGAGACTCTTGGCTTGATTTCATTGGTGGACCTTTCTCTGTAGATCCTAATCCTTGTTCGCCAACAGGAACATTTGTACCAGTCACTTGAATATTGCTGTTTGCAGACATCCCTTTTGATGAGCTTGTTTTATAGAGGGGTGGCAACTTTTTGTAAATGGTTTTTTCATTCAAGTGATAAAGTTCCCCAGAGCCTCTTTCACTATTTGTGTTTATCTCCTCTGGATCAACCTCAGTGTCTATACGTGGTTGTTTTTGTATTCGTTTTAGGTTTCTTTTCAGAGACCCTTGGCTTGATTTAATCGGTGGACCTTTCTCTGTAGATCCTAATCCTTGTTTGCCAACAGGAACATTTGTACCAGTCACTTGAATATTGCTGTTTGATGACATCCCTTTTGATGAGCTTGTTTTAGAGAGGGGTGGCAACTTTTCGTAAATGGTTTTTTCATTCAAGTGATAAAGTTCCCCAGAGCCACTTTCACTAGCCGTGTTTATCTCCTCTGGATCAACCTCATTGTCTATACGTGGTCGTTTTTGTTTTCGTTTTGGGTTTTGAACGTTGTTCTTCCCAGATGCACTTGTTGTAAGGAGGGGCTCTGATTGTTTGTAAAGGTCTTTCAGATTCAAACGCCCATGCTTGAATTCTTTTTTCAATCCTTTCAGTCCATTTGGTTCATCTGCATTGGACTGTACATTTTTTGTGCTGATAGTTGGCCTTTCTGAAGGTGATTCCTCAAAATTTTTAGAACTGCCTTCAATGAATTCATCTGCAATTCCCTGATATCCATCGATGTCTGATACCAAAGGCAATGCAGTGGGAACATCTGCCTCCTCTGGAAATGTAGATGGTTGAGATTTTCCTAGAAATCAAATAAGAAAGAGGACTAACCAGTCATTCGCAACATTCGGAACGATGCATTAATTTAGGGTACATTTGTTCATCATCTAAAATAAATAGAATTTTAAGCAGAGCGATAATGAGGATTGGAGCGATAATCTAGCAGATGTAACAAAAAAGTGCCAGGAATCACCACCAGAGAGAAAAAAATTTCAAAAATTCTCATTAGCTTGTATGCTGTTAAAATCTTCAAACACTTTCAAATTGCCAACGAAACTTGTGCATAAATCGGAAGAAGCCATCGTTATTTTTCAGCGTACTGGCTTTTGCTTTTCTTCAGCTACGCCCAGAAGAAATAATTTCTCACCTCGGAGTACAAGCACTGCACTATGGGGAGGACTGCTTTTATGTAATACCCATCAATGGCCGAGCAAAGGGCACTTTACTTTTTGAAAAACATGAGAAACATGACGCAATACAAGCCGCCATGTTGTCTCGTGTTCCTCAAGAGTCTGGGTCGAGTGTGCGTGACTAAAATATTTACTGCTTTTCGTGGACTGGACTTGAAAAAACTCAATGGTAGAACAAGATAAAAAAAAATGGTAAGATGAAGGGAAATTCATTTCCCCTCTGCATCTGAATTCCATTTTCCTTTTAAATTGCCCTTATTCTTCCTATATAGAAAGAAATCTGGCAGCCGTAATGAAGATTCCCTGCGTATGAAAAATGCACGCGCGTTTTAGCTACATCAGTTCGCGTGATATATTAATAACTGAATGAAAACCTCAATGGCTCAACATTGGTTTTGGGATCTAAATTTCACACTTGTGGCCAGTGCTCAGAGAACTTAACGAGTTTCACTTCCCCAGATTTCCTCGTTAATGTGGGCAGTTGTTTTGTATCTCACGCACTCAATTCCGTTGTTTTCTATTTAAGTTTTCAAAAGCGCGCGTCGAACTTTAAATCATCACAGAAATTCGTCACTTACCTTGAGCAAGGAAGGCAAATGCAAAGATAAGTAAAACAATCCGAAGTACTCTCATTTTCGCTCGCGAATCATTGCTACATTTTTCTTGTTGCAACTTACCCACAATCGAAGTGTCGAGTAACCTACGTCACAATATGAAAGTGATAAATTTGATTTTAATTAATGATAATAAATGCGTCATTTAGATTAATTATTTCTTTGCTCAGCTAATTGCAGTCTAAGTCCACGACTTCTTTAAACCAATAATGTATATAAACGTGATTCTGAGTATCAGAATTGAGGCAGCCGTATAGAAAAATACGTTTATGGCGATCTAATTTCTAAGATCTCTCTTTCGTTTCTTCACCACACTGCAAATATATGAATTTCATATATCTAAAATCATTTTTCATCACTTGGATGGTTTATTTGGACCCAACATATTGACCAGCTCCCAGTTGAGGGTCTCAATGGGGTGATGGCTTTTACGGCTATCGGTTAAAATTTTGGCCAATTACCGGCTAACGGTTAACACCTTTCCATTGTTTCCACCAGAGATACTTTTTACGGTTAACTTTTTTTACGTCTAACGGCTAAATATTTTGGCCGTTTTACGGTTAACGGTTAACCCCATTGGGACCCTCCCAGTTGGCTTGTTCGCTCAGTTGGTAGAGCGCTGCACCGGTATCGCAAAGGTCATGGGTTCAAATCCCGTACGAGCCTGAATTTTTTTCAGGTCCTATTTTCAACTACTAGTTCAGTAGTGTTCTTCACTGCGAGGAGCTCTTAAATTCGTCATCTCTCTGCACGTTCTTTAACCATTTGACCTCTCGGAGTGACTAGCATCTAATTTCTCCTTACAATATCACTAATGAATCACATGTTATAATCATGAGAATAAATGAAATGATCACCAACTTAAGAAGTCCCTGATGGTTAAACAAATTCTCCTTACTAGCGCCTTGGGTAATGTATGGAAAAAAGCGGGGAGAATGCGCATACTGATGTTGGGGTATAAACAGTCAAGAGGGATTCTAACATAATCACCGCTGGAGAATATGGATGAAATAATAAGTTTTCGAGTAAATTTGTTTTGTTTTGTCTGTAAGTTGTTGTCGTTTTACTTCCTGTATATAACTTATTTCCAAGGGGTGATCAGATACGTTTCCGAGGAAAACGAAGCCTGCTAAATTTAAAATTCATTTAAAATTCATTTCACTTTATCAAAAGCCATACAACGCGATAGAGCCGAGCAAATATCTCACCGGCTCGCGTTGCTGAGACTGAACCCTAACCAGTGTCGAAGCTTTTCACTCTACGTACCTGTAGTTGGCTGACAAACACTGACGACGAAACATTGTTAAATTCCCCGAAATCAGTTTATTTTGTAAAAATTACTCCGAGTTAAAGCTGTATAAATAACTTCCACTTTAACAATAGTTTGAATAATGAATTATCTACCAGGGTCTCTTCGACATGTTCAATAGAACGTTAGTACAAGAGTCCATCTTTTTTGTTTTTCTTTTGTGATAACAGTTGACCACATCTTAAATCAATGTAAAGGAATTAAATTTCTAAACATCCTATTTTCTCATTATCCTACTAAATTTCTTCGTGGTCAGTACATTTAATTACGTAAAGAAATGACTCCATTCTTATATAATAGAGAAACATTCTGCGCTTCAAGCTGTGATTGTTTTGGTAGTAGAAAAAATTAAAGGTAAATATGCGTAAAATATTTGAAATATTTCATTTATCTGATGCTGTCATGGAAGTTGATGTTGCAAACGTTTTTTTTTTATTTTTTTTGCGATCGACTGACATTTCATTTTCAGCGATCATCTTCTGATCTCAAGGCATGCCACGGTGGAAAAATTTTACTCCTAGCTAGTCCTACAAATAACAAATTAACAACTTTAAGTCTCCTCTAATCGCCAGACCCTATTTTTGTGCTTTCGTAATGAAATGTAAGCATTTTTGTTATTTCTTCACACAGTACCTTCCATTTTTTTCCATAGACTCCTTCATCCACTTTATCAGGATGATAAACGCCGAGAGCTTTGATAAGAAGCTTCTTGTATGCTTTGGAGGTCGTTTTCAATTCTTCCCAATCTTCCATTTCGTCCTCGCTCGGTTTCTTCCAAGATGGATTTTTAGGTGGATAGTTGGTGTACAAGAACTTGATTAACTCCACCGCAAGATCTTTGTGGTCTTTAATTTCCTCCAGTTCTTGTGACAATTCCTCCAAGAAACCTGATCTTTCTTTGCTTTTCTCCTCTTCGTCCCTCTTTCTCGCTTCCTCTTGGTATCTCAGCAGAGTTGCCGCGCAGTCTTTGTACCACTGACAGGCTGTGAACATGCGAGGTTTTAATGATTCTGCCAACTCAAAACAATGGGTGTAGTAGGCTTTCGCTCGCAGGGTGATCCTCAGGACCTTGTCGTAGACATAACCCAAGCGACTTTCGGCAATAGCTTCTTGCTCGATCTCCACATTTCTTGCGAGAACGACAGCTTGCTTAAACCAGTCAATAACTTCAAAGATCAGAGTCATTTGCAGCGCTTCCTGCTCCAACAAGGCGCTCTGAAGAAGTTCCTCTCCCATCATTCGTGCTTGCACGGATTTAGCGGCACAAGTGTGAAAGAACACATCCTTCTCTAGCACTCTAGCCTCGTTCAACATCTCGTAGTTAATTCTGAGGGCATCACCGCGCTTCGATAACCGTTTAACTTCTTCAATTGGTTGATAACAGTCGGTCATCCGAGACAGGCATTTCTTGTAGTCGCCATTTTGCAACTTGGTCGTACCATCGTGAAAATAAAGTGTCGCTAGACTCATGTGCACGTCGATCGAAGCTTCGTCCACACTGGTAATGAATGCAAGTTTTTCAAGCTGTGCGATCTTTTGATCAGTGTCGACGAAGGCTTCTGAAGCATCGATCACCTCTTGTAAACAAGCACAAATTGTTTCAAATACTTCGCCTCGCCACTCGTCATCTTTCCACTCTCCACTGATGTTGTAAGCTTTACACAAAGCTTTGATGGCCTCATGAAGATAAAAGATGATAACATCTGGTTTCTCTTGCGGCTCTTTATTAGTGAGAATATCGGCTATCTTCCATGCAGCTTTGCCGATATTCTTCGCAGCAGAGCATTCTTCATCCTGGTTCTCGGATTTATCTTTTGCCTGGTAGTAGCAAGAAAGCGCCCGCTCATATAGATCCTTTGCCTGCAGCGGTGATTCATCCGCGTTTAAACTTCCAGCCTGACGGAAAAATTCGTTTCCTTGATTCCTAAGAAGGCTGGAAAGAGACATACCGTTTCACCGTCTTCACCGTTCGCTACTTCCGCAATTCGACGCTTTCTCTTCTGTTGCCGTGGCAGAGTAAACTGAAACTGGGCCCCAATTTCAATGTTGGACCTCGTCCTCCGCAACTTCTAGTTTCAAAGCGACTTAGCGTGCTTTCGTAGTCACGCAGTTTGACTCAGATAAAAGAAACAGCATGTTGACGTAACCATATCACCATTTCGATAGAAAAGAATTATGTTCTGGCACAAGTGTGAAAGGGAGCGAACTTGCTATGGGGCGAAACCTTCTTTACCGTTCAGTGATCGGCCATGATTAAAGTGTGTATAGTCGTCACGCAATAGTCAAGTAAGTATTTTGCAATGAAAAGTTCGATATGCGCTTTTTTGAGTCATCTGAGAAGGGTCCTGTGGTCTGTAGCCATATTTGGCGTGATAAAGGAATAGAAAGTGCGCCAGGAATGAGAGCAAGGTACGGAAGCAACTCATTCAAAGTAAACAAAGAGCAGACAACTTACTTCCAGTTGTCCCCTTCCTTCCCATCGAGAGGTAAAGGCCTGGGTGTAAAGTTGCCTGTTGAGTGTCAGTTGGAGCTCAAGGTTGTAACAAGGGGAGAGGGGGGGAGCTGACCATGACCCCCCTTTGCAAGTCTTTCTTTAAGAACACAACATATAATATTCAGATGAGATGGCGAACACAAGTGAGTAACTGTGTGACCCCTCTCCCCCCTTTGGAAAATCCTGGCCACACCCCTGAAGGTGTGATAGGCCCCCTTCTGTCACCCCCTCCTCCCTACTCCAGTAGCACTGAAATCTAATGAGCTCTTATCATCACAAGGTTTAGTACGAGAGAAGTGGAGAGAACACTTAAACTAACACAGTACATCAGATCACAGTTTAATCCATTCATGCTTCACCTTAGTTCCTAATATGAAGACCCTATAAAACAGGGTATCATTAGCAACTGCACACACAAGTTACTACATAGCCATACAAACAAAAATACCTCATGATCATAATATATCTCTCCACATGATCATAACACAATTGGTGTAAGGTGCACATGTCTGTGTGGAAGTTGTTCTACTATCTCTATGACAAAACCAATGTACATATTCTTTGTGATATCTTTATCATAACTTAGGTTGTTAAAAAGAAGGAAATCTATGGAAACTCTACATGTGTTCAACAACTTTGGTATTTTGGGGAAAAAAATAACCTATTTTTTAAGTAACAAGAGTTGCCCTTGTTAAAATACCACAGATGGAAGAAAAATTACCCAAAAGCACAGTACCCCATGATCCACAAGTAGCACAACTTAAAATAAAATAAATTACAGTGATTTTAGTCACTTATTTAACCCTTAAACTACCATAAGTGATTAACCCTTTAACTCCAAGAACAAATTTTCAATTCTCCTTACTGTCAACCATACAATTCTTACAATGTTAGTTCAGAGGATTTAGTATTCGATCAACTAATTATCCCCAAATTAATATTTTTCTTTATTCTCATCACTCATCTGGTTGACATTGTATTGACATTGTAAGGAGAAATTCTGTCTTGGTCACTCATGGGAGTTAAAGGGTTATCATTTAACTTATCCTTCTAACATCCATACATTATCCACCAAACATGTAATGAGAATACTTAAACTTGTCAGGTACAAGTGGTTATCTTGATCGAAGACCAAACCCTCATAACAACTGAAGGGGAGAATTAATACTCAGATCTTGAGGGTTAAGGGGTGTCATTTTGAAACAAATATCCTCCTTGAGTCAGTGCTCACTTTGAATTAGAAACTAATGCTATTGATTAAAGAAAAGTTGCTGTGTTGAATTTATTAAATATAGAATTTTAAGAATATTACCATGATGGTGGACTACTAAATCTGATCAAAGATTGGGGCATGGTCAACAAGGATTCTACAATAATTTTTAACATTTATTGGTAATCCTTGCTTCTATAAGATTGACTACTCTGAAAAACTAAGGAGATAAAAATTCAAAATACCTTTAATGTATTATAGTCACTGCAGTTCTTATGTCTGTCCTTGAAACATAGCCAATTACAAGTGGTTTATTCTATATACAGCCTTTTCACTTGCAGGTTAAATGAACAGTTGTTTCCATTTTCCAAACAATATTAATTTTGCTTCATCCTAGTAAAAAACCCACAATAACTTAATTTGACTTAAATAAATATCTTTTCAAATAGTCCTAATAGTAATCTGTGAGTTATTCCCAATACTTAACACACAGTGTTTAATATCAATTATACACCTTGAAAATAACCATTATGATATCTTAAGAGTTAAGATTATTACTAATTAATAATTCTTTCTGTTGAAAATAATTGCAATTGGAAAGCCACATTTCTTTTGCAATAAATCTAGTATTGTTTCAAAATGGGGCTAACCAATTTAACTGGTGAAATTATTTAACATTAATAATAAACAGTAAATAATAATAGAATTTAAGACAATGACTGGTGATGACATGGCAACAATAATGATTATGATGTAGTGACTATAATAATGATAACGGAAATGATGTTGATGAGAACAATAATGACAAAAATAACAGCAATTATTTCAGAATAAGGACTGGCATGTATTGAACTCAACTCCTGGTTGTTCATTGTTCAAGAACTGAGTATGAGCTTTCCTTGTGGTATATCACATATTAACAAGTTTTTTGTATTATTCAATACACATGTAAGTATTTTCCTGTTGCACAGTGGCCCGGTTTTCTGAAAAAAATTGGCACCCTTGCCATAAATTCTGCAGTGAACAACAAAGTTATACTTTTGCCACAGCAGTCAGTTTTTCACTCCCTGGCTTAGCTTGATTCTGTGGTCTTCCATACAACAGTACAGCTGATATAACCAGTGCAGCACCAAACAGGAACTGTCCACTCACATGAAAGTCGAACAGATACACAGATACTACACAAGAAACAATAATGGCTAATGATGTCGCAAAGCCCTTAAGAATGTTATCTGCATACTTCACCACTACAGCAACCAGAAGCCCACCAAATGCCTGCATAAAGATTACAATCCAAACCAAGATGGAATACCCAAACATAATGCCTTTCTCATCAATCTTGTGACCATCCTTGACACGCATTCCAATGAGGCCAATAACTGTTCCATAGATTCCCAGTTGAATGTTTCGGATCCAGATGGAAGCTTGTGAACCTTTCAAAATCTTCTCAAAATAAACACCTAAGACACAACAGGGAAAAGCATCAAAATGCAGCAACAATGAGTAATACTATGTGCAGGGGTTTCAAAATGTTTTGAAATAGGCATCAGACTCAGCAAAAGTGGATGACTGTTAAAAGTTCAGTAAAGGCCAAAAGGCAATTATTTTGACCAGAATAACCAGTGACACGCCATAAGCCAATAAGTAGTTGATGAAACTCAGGTAGTCACCAGCTTCTTTTAAAATCCCTGATGTATAGTATACACATACACCCACCAATATTTTTTATAGGTCAAGTACATTTGACTTTTGTAGTCATATCAACAAAATCTCTGAAAAAATGTGACTTCTTGGGAATATCCAAGAAGATGTTCCTGTGACTCTGATTGCGACCTTGCTTTGCTAGAGGATGCACCTCCTTATGAACATTTTTTTAACCAAATACTTGCCCAAATTTTTGAATGAAAGTTGGTGGTTTGCCAGTTAAAACAAAAAAACTTGGTGCTATCTTGCCTCTACATGAAGGGTGAACTCTTAGCCATAGATAAAGATTCAAATAAGACATATTTATGTACTGTAGTTCCATTCAATATGGCTTGTTTATATTGAATTATTTCAAAATGTTATTACTTGTTGAGTTGTACAGATGGAGGCTATGCTAAAGATTATTTACACTTAATATACACTTAGTGCAAGTCAGCTTACATATATGTAATTCAAACACATGCAGGGTTTTTCTTTATTATTATTACTGGACTGGAAATATCATTTTTTTTTTTTGGCAATGTCGTATTGCATGGGATTTTTCTAAACTGGGAACCTGAATTATGTCACAATCTTCAAAATCTGTTGAATCTACAAAAATTTCCATGGTACACTGTATGCGCTATTTCATACTTTAATGCATTAACTCCCAAAATCTTAATAGTAATTCTCTTATTGTCTGCCATACAATTCTTGTGATGTTAGTTTGGAGAATTTGGTATTGGATCAACTTATTATCCCCTAATTGATATTTTTCTTTAATCTTATCAATTGTCTGATTGATATTGTACTAATATTGTAAGGAGAAATTCTGTCATGATCACTCATGGGAGTTAAAGGGTTATAGCCTGACCTGCAAATCCAGAGCAAAGTGTGGACAAAATAACTGCAACCAAACCCAGCAGTGGGCTCTGAGATTCTTTCAATTGCTGTGCCGTCTCCACAGACTGGTTATCTTTATCACTTGAAGAAGTTCCACCTGTTGGCTGCAGCTGCACAATTGAGACTCCAACAAAGAGCATGACTAAAGACAGCCACTGAAGTTTCACTAGAGTTTTGTTGAGCATGAAAACTGAAAACAGGGCTGTTGTCAAAATTTTTAACTGATATGTCACCTAAATGGGAGAAAATCAATAATAAAAAATTTTAGTTATCCCTAACACTCTAACATCAAGATGCATATTCCCCATTCTGTTCCCTATATATTTTTTAAGGCATTGAGAAGGAGAATTTGTTTGACAATCAAGAACTCCTTTAGTTGGAGATCATTTACTTTATTCTCATGATATTAATGTGTGATTCAGTGGTGATATTGTAAGGAGAAATTAGATACTAGTCACTCTTAGGGTCAAATGACTAAATAAAGGTTAAATGAATATTAAAGACAATTTCTGCACCTGAGGAGAATGAATGACTTAGGGGTGTAATGAATTCCATAACTATTATCACAGTGTAAAGTCTTTGAAATCACATCAGTCAGCAATTAAACCAAAAAAGAAAATAAATCGTCATCTAATGCGCTTCTAGGCCCAGTTGTATAATGGGTGGATAATGCTATCCAATGGATAAATCGCTACCCAGCGGATATTTGATAGAAAAACATGTAGCATTATCCACTGAATAGAGATTTATCCAATGGAAAGCATCATCCGTTCTTCAAACAACCTGGGCCTGATGTATTTTTTTCTTCCACCTCCACACAGAATTTTTTAACCATGTAAAAGAAAAGTTATCAAATTAGTCAACAAATAAGGAAAATAATGAAAATGGGTAAGAGTACAATCCAATAATTAACCATTTACACTCTAACATCAGTACTCATATTCTCTATAATGTTCTCTGTACATTAACTAAGGTGCTGACAAGGAGAATTTGTCTAATAATCAGAGTTTCTTTAGTTGGTGATCATTTCCTTTATTCTTGTGTAATTAATGTGAGATTTAGTGGTGATATTGTAAGGAGAAATTAGATGCTGATCACTCTTAGGGGTTAAAGGATTAATACCTGAAAAGTGGCAGCATCCAGATTTGAAATAGCAGTGTACTGTAGATTATTCTGTACGGTGTAAATTAGTGCTGGAACAGATAGTTTCAGTGTATCCCATGGCTGTCCAATAATTGATGAATATAGCAAACCAAAAAAATCTGGAAAGCTCTGCTTCTGGGCAAGTATAATTAACAAACATGCCAGTACTTTTAAGACTTCTGCAAACACCACGGCAGTTGTAGCAATGTACATGTCTCCAGGCAAGGTGCGTGAGTAACGTATCGTGAGAATAAGAGAAGCATTCTGTATTGTCAAGGTGAGGAGACTAATGTACTTCAGGTTACACCAACCACTACCTGTGTGATGAACAGAAATAATGATAAGAGTGACATCAAACCAACCATTAGCCTTTGAAGTAAACTTTAACACTTTCACACCCAACAGTGATAAAAAAGAACATTCTCTTTACAGATTTGATACAATTTTGCACAGAATGGTGATGAGAATCAAATGATTAAATAAAGGGAAAATGAATATTAAAGAAAATTTCTGCACCTGAGGAGAATGAATGACTAAGGGGTGTAATGATGAATTCCATGACCATTATTACAGTGTACATTCTTCAAAATCACATCAGTCAGCACAGATAATCATCAATTACAAGGTATAGTTTCATTTTAACACCAAATTCTCAAAGCAAAAATTATAAGGAATGTATAGCAATCTGTACAGAGAAGTTACATATTGATCTTGGGAGTGAGTGCATGGGCTAATATTTTGATTCATTGCACAGAGGCCCAGGAAATAACAAAATTAATACTTTTAATCAATGTATCCCTTGATGGAGAAGGCTATCTCAGAGTGGAGACTCCTATACTAAAAAAAATCCATTTTGAGCTACAAGCATGCTGCAGACTTACAGACTTATGAGTTCAAAAGATCAAAGAAGGAAGAGAGAATTTTGATCTAATTTGTTTCTCCAACGTGATAATGATTGATGGAAGCATAAAGTAATATTGTAGGTAATTTAGCTCAGAACAGATGAGTTTGTATGTTATTATATGGTGCAGTGAATCATTTCCCTTATCTTTTCCCTTCCTGAACTAATTGTGAGCAGAAGAACAAGTTCCCAATAACAATATCTGTACTAAACTCCAGCTAAAATTATCAAAAATTCAGGTACCTAACCTCATCGAGGAGCAACCATGAAATACTGGCCTATCGCCCTCTTAGTTCACCTTGTTGCCAATTGCAAGGCTATGGCGATGAGGATTACAAAATTTAAATGATAATGCTAAAACTTATTCAATAAGATGCAAATTAGCGACCCTGTTTTCTGTAATATACCCTTTGTTTAGTAAAAAAGCATTAGATGTCCACGATAACTACAGATTACTACAAAAAAATTTAGAATTATTTCTACGGCAGAGATTTCAATAATTAGGTCATGGTCGACGGGGGCGGTTACTTCGGTAGTGGAGACAAGCACAGTAGAATTGAAAAGGGTACTGTTCAAGCACAGTTGAATAAACACCATTTATTACCACACGATTTATTTCTGCCACGTAGATATAAATTTCGAGCTTCGTTTAATTTTACATCTTGACTTTTCAGATTAGATTCGTAGATATCAGATTTTCCACTGTGCTTTCGAGGAATACTAGAGCAAACATATTACAAACCCACAAATTCTGCAGATCGATATTTGGCTCACAGCAAATTAAAAGATCAACAATATACACCAGATACCGCGATATTTTAGCGGGCGAAGAATTAAATATAGTGAGAGCACACTGCAAATGTTTATAACAAATTTGGGCCGAATGCTTCGACAATTCAGCGATTGTCATCGTTACGCTCGACAAAGGAAAAAACACATCTAGTTAACAAGATAAGAAATGATTGATAAAATGGGAAGATACGTCCCTGTAACCTAACAATCTGATTCATTTACCTTCCGTCACTTGCTTTGTTGCCACCATGTTTGTTGCCTTCTGTCTTATGAGCCCGCGATGCCAGACGCTACGTCAAGGCGGACTTCAGATAGAGAAGGAATAAAGTATATATTCTGTAACGATTTGCTAATAACACTGAAGTATGTTCATCATGTATTATTCGTGTTGACTGTAGAGGCATTTTAGGCGTGCTTGTAGGTACGATGAATCCCTAAGGCTACCAGGCTATCTAAGATTTTGTAACTTTTGCATGCAAGAGCCACTCAAAGGCGTCTCTGTCAACTTTATTCACTACCGTAATTTCTTTATAACGATGTAACGCTCGCTGTATCCTGCATCAATAAACGAGATCCCCTCTCCTGATGCTGTGTTTGTGTTTATTAAGATTAATTAAAGAATATTTTATAATCGTTTCAGGGTGATTATGGGATTAAAGGACTTCTGTGGCTGTACGAATATGGGGGCACGCAAACAAAATTAGTTTCCCGTTGCAATTAAAATACATATCTAACATTCCCTACCCGCAGTTAATAGCAGTTAATCGAAGGGGTGGGGAAATAAACATTGACAGAAATTCTTCAAAACCAACAACTTGAAGGAAGCGGTCGATCACCATTACGGCTGAACTGCGTTGATGACATGTGAATATGTTGAGTCTCTTGCGAGGAACTGACATCTAGACTTACGAATTCTGATGTTCTTCTCCTAAGAAACCGATAGACCACAAGCAGTCACTGCTTTTCAGCGAGGTTCATCGCTCGAGTAAACTGAAAAAATCAATGAAGAAAAAATTGTAGGTGCGCAGCGCGAAACTCTGGGGATGGGGCGTACCTAAAGTACGATTCGTCACGACTCTAAATCGCAATAAAAATGCCCTCCACTAAACAGTCCGTAACCTTGGGACCTGGGACAATAGCGTGATACGACGAAAAACCTACAATAGATCTAAGAAACCAAGGCAAATTGGCCTCTAAATGTCGAGGTTCGATCCTGATTGGAACAGTAAAACACAGGTCTCGTTAGCAACTCGTGTTCCGTGAAGAACTGATACCTCAGCGCTGGAACGCTAGAGAGTAAAGCTAATCCAATCGCATTGATAATGCTTATCTCCCGCGACCTATGACTGCTGGAGAAGTCGGGAATCGAGTCAGCATGGAGTGCTCCGTAGCTCATAATTAATTTTATTTACACGAAAACACTGCAACGAAAATATCGCTTCAGAGGAATATTGAAAAACGCAGTAACATTTTGCTCATGGCTTCCGCAATCAGTTATGCTCACCTGCTTATAAAGGCGCTAATATCGAGGAACACTGCAATTTGCGTAAATGTCTGGGCTCTAATTGTCGGAACACAGAAGGATTAACTCTGAAAACATACATTTCAGTACCATGGTGCAAACTTTCAAATGAAATGTTAGAACGGATCTGAAAAATTAAAGTCGTGAATCCACCTGATAAAATGCTGAAAGAGAAGAATCTTCTCGTTTGAAGAGCCTTTTACGAGAGAAAATTTGTACACCGTCCTAGGCAAGAGAGGTAAAGCTGTTTGGCAGCCTATGTTTTTCATAGGAACGTTAAGTGTGCGCGATTTCTTTCATTTTAGGATGTGCTTTTTTCGGTTTATAATTTATATTGCAACATTAAGTTATTAAAGACCTTAACAGAGTTGGGTTCGATCAAGATAACAAAGCTTCAGCTGTAGAAGCTATGCTGATGTAGTCTCTTCTGGGAATAGGATAGATTGCGTGACGCCTTACTCGGAAGTGGACTAAACTCATTGTTCACACCGAGAGAGTCTCACGTTCGATTCCTCGTGGTAACTCAGAATTTTTTCTTTTTCCTACACTCTAAAAAAGACAAAAAAGTATCTTTTTAAAAAGTACGACATTTATTTCACCACATGTTTTCCGTGCGTTTATAATGTTGGCAAGATAACCACAACCCGCAACCATAACCTGGCCGGTTGTGAAAGAGTTGCGAGAAGAAATGCCCATATATTTGTTCTGATAGCTGTTCGCTAGTAAACTTAAAAAATGTCAGATTCGTAGATCTAATAACGCAGTATGATAGGAATGATTTCTGAGAACAAATAATTTGTATTAAAATCACTTTACCGAGAAAAGGAGAAGATAACTAGAAATGTCATCGTGTCTGACCCGAACATTAACGAGATCTGTACGATCTATCATAGGTGAGCCTGTAGGATCTAATTTTTTTATGTTTTTCTTCCCTTGTCAATGCGTTTTTTTTTTCGTAGAGAAAAGCTTATTTATTTTCAAATTCTGTATGTTTTCTTCATCATTTGTCTTTAGGTACTAAGAATAATAAAACAAGATACGTTACATCGTCAAGTTCGCGTGCAATTTTTTAGTGCAGTGTTTCATGTCTCAAGTTTCAAAATATTGGCCAAAAAATTTTCAAAATTAAAATGCTCTCGGCAAGAATAGAAATCACGAGAAACAGAACTTACCATGCACATTATTACGTTGAAGAAAGAATTGTACGAAGCAGAACCATTTTGTTTTCGCTGTTGACGTAGTTGTTGGTTTTTGAAAAAAAATCATCGATCGGTAATATACCAAACAATTCCTCTAGACTCGATGGCTGCCGCTTTCCCAGAATTACGTGACGTCACTGTGTCACTCAAACAGTATATATCTTTCACGCAGTGGGATGATATTGGAAGATTTTTGAGGTCACTTACCCAAGCGAGAAGTTCTCAACTCAAAACTCATCATTGGGCGGCGATGATATTTGTTTCTTCTGAGCTTCTGAAACAGGGAGGATAGTTTACGTAAGTTTTTACATTTTCTGTATTAACTAGACGCGTCGCGCAAAGAAACTCGGAGAAAGCTTCTTATATAGCAACGAAATAATTCAGTTCAATTTCGTCCATGGGTATTTTCCATTATCCAACGAGGTTCGAAAGGAATGGAGATGGAGTGGATTTTCTCCAGTATAACTTTTATGGCGCAAAGATGTGAGGTTGATTTGTAATTTTTAATGTTCGTTGACTAACTCATGTAATGCAAAGATGACTAGCGTGTAGAACAAACCGTGAAAGTAACGTGAAATTTTATTTGATTTGTGCCTCAAGTTGACCCACACACGAAAAAAATATACCATGTATTGAGGAAAGGATAAAAACAGGGCAGTCACTCAGAAGTTTTATGATTAAAAAGCGTGTCTGAATACTGAGTTCGAATGAATTTCCAGGAGATCAGACAGATTTCGTGAATTTGGATAAACACTTGACTTCTGAAGATTTTGGGAGGAAACTGACGGATGCCTGGGGTTGTAGCAAATCGACTGCTCCAGTTTTAGCTTTGAATCAAAAGCGAACATGATTTAAGTGTAACCGCTGCACTATGAGCGCATTCATCGACGGTTTCGAATGTGCGTTTCTCATAGTTTCTTGTCTTCGCAAACAAACGAGACACATCAATTAATCTCAGAAAAAGGGCAACCTTTCCGGGAATAGAAGCATAAGGTCATTCGTTTCTTAAGAACTACAGATCCCAGAAATAACCTTTCCTAATGAGAAAAATTACATTAATCTTTTAAAACACGGTCATCGTGGATTTAAGTCGAATGTAAAGGAAAAAAAAAAAACAGCGCGCCAATGATTGCAACATGAACTACCCTGCGTTTACTACAGATGTGGTGTCTACATTCGCCCGAAAATTATACTATCTTTGATTGCGTTTGTTTGACTCTCTTTTGGCATCTTCTACCATAAAAGGAAAGAATTACATAGAATGTACTCTAAGATGTTATTTTTTCACTGAGAAAAACGCCACAAGCGGCAAGGATAACTGCAATGTTTCATCGAAAATCACATGATGCACGTTGCATAATTATACCTCAATGGCGGCACAGCCATTATACCTCAATGGTGGTACAGCAAACGCTTGTTGAGAAAAGATAAGATGGTGTTTTATTTTTTTCGTTTGGAAAGTTTTTCACAATGCTACATTATTGATATTGTGTCCCAGCTAAAGGAAAACTAGTCCATTAATTTCGTCTCTAGCTATAATGAAACTATGATAATGACACTTTGGATTCTCATCTCATGGGCACAGAGCAATGTTGTAGACATTCTTTGCCATTTGCCACGGAAGTTGTTGATTTTCGAACTCGCAGAAAATGATTTTACTTTGTAAATTCTAGAATAGTATTTGTTTACATCTGATACCATTGAAAAGCATTGTGGTTCTAAATGACGAAAATAAAGAAATAATTGAAAAGAACCGAGAGGAACATGATTGCATGTGCAAAGTTGTATTCAGAATTCGTGGAAACGTTAGATGGAATTTCGCAAAATCGTCTGAGTTTACAAGACACATCGCAACAGTAGTCCTTCTTGAGATCATGCCTATTCACACTATTAATAGTGGCTGCATAGAAATCAATGTCCAAAGCTGATTTCTACGAGTAACAAACAAAGGCATTAATGCAAGTATTGTCGAGTATGTTGACAGACCTTTCAGACTCGTTTCAGCGCTCGGTGAAGAAAACTTCCTCAGGTATCACTTGAAGAAAGCTTTTCGGGAAAGATATCTCCTTCTTTGATATTCACAGTGCTCAGTTCGTTTAAAGCTTGAGCATGAAAGCTCACGAATTCAATTGAGTGGCTTAAGTGTCTGTGAAAAAGACGGCCGAGGCCGCAGAAATGGGTCAGCAGTGAGATCTCCTCCTTGTTTACTGTTGCTTGCTGCCCCTTCCAAAAAGTCTTGAATGTGAACTTTCTCAAATGGCTGTTTCCCAGCAGTGTTAAAAGATACTTGGGCAGAATACAAAGCTATTTCAGATGTACTCATAACACTAAATGGTGCCACCGTCTGTCCATTATCTTATTTTAAATAAACAGCAAAATGGCGCATGAATTACTCTGAATAGTTAGGACTCAATTTAAATGTTTGTGAGAAGGAGCTGTAAAAGTATTGATGTTTGCTTCCCTCGTTGCGGCGGAGGAGAAATCTCGTCGATTTTTTGGTTCATAGACAAGCTTCGTTAGCAAGAACGCTGCAACAAATA